TGGGGGGGGGGGGGTTAAAATGGGATAGATATGATGAGGTGGCATGCCATGCGATATCCACATTGATATGTCACGCCATATAAAATAATTTTTCAACGATGGAGGGTCCTAATAATAGAGGGGTATTTTTGAATTAGTTTTATAACGTGAAAACTATTATGGACCAATAATATGACGAACGGTATAAGTGAACATTATCAAATAGTAAAGAAATATTTTTTACCGATTCCGATTTTTCTTTTGGAAAAATAAGCGTGAAGCATGTTGTAACACATTACGAGGATTTGCTTTCCTAGTAAAAAAAAGGCAATCGGAATCCTTCCTCTATTTATTTTTTGGCCTTTTATTATTTGTGGTCCACTGTATTCAACAACAGCCATCTAGATATTTCCGTAACCTACTCATCGCCAGCCTTTAGCCCTACTCCACAGACAACGCATCTCAATCGTTAATCATCTACCAGCTCATTCAATCTAAACCGTCCGATTATCCTAACCACGCTATAAAATAACGCATCATCTCTTTATCAACTTGCATCCCATTTTCAACCTCTTCCGAGTCCACCGTTTTTTTTTTCCTCTTCAGATCTGTTCCTTATCATTTATCTGCTTCTGATGCTGTATTCAGACCTGTGTAGATCGTTCGCCGATCTACAGTTTGAATATGGTTTCGAGTTGCATCGGACATCGATTTTTTGATCGTTGGGCCGGAGGTTTTGTTACGAAACGTTTGACTTTGAGAAATGAGTTGATGAAAGCTTCATAATTTGGAAGAGTAGCTCTTGTCTGCTTGTTAGTTGTTCCAAAGCAACCAAATCTGGTTATTCAAGTCGATTCGAGGTTTCATCGTTTGCTGCTAGAGTTCTGTCGGTGAGCCTATATGTTTCTATTATATTTTGAATTCATCTACCGTTTTGGACCAAATTCTATTTATTGACATCTGTTGTGGTGTTTCTGTTTGCTACAGGTTTGATTCTACATGCGGCTCAAATTGACCACATATCTGTTCTGTAGAGCTGCTTGACTAATCAGATCTGATTGGTGCTTCAACTGTCGAACTGTGGGTCGATTAGCCGATGGTTATCGGCGAGGTTGTGGTTGTTAGAGAAGGTTTATCATTGTTTAATTTGTTGTCTATTATGAGTTGCATCATTGATGAGCATTAACCTTTCTGATACGCATGCATATGTACGTACGAGTTAGTTATATTGTCATAGAGAAAAAGAGATTTTTGTTGTTGTTTTCCGACCTTTGCCATGATGGGTGCGCTCGCATGGCAGGTCACTATACCCAATAAAGTTTCTATTTTTTGTTTTGGGAGAGAGCTGGCACAGGTTTTTTGCCTGGCGCTCCTCTCTTTGTGTCTTGTCTTTTGTTTTTTCTCTTCCTTGTTCCATAGATTTATGCGCAAGATCAATACCACCAAGAACGTCACATCAGATTGTTGGTTACTTGCCCTTTGAATGATGGTCTTTTATTCAAGGGCAAGTGAACTTAAATTTGACATTGGTCAGGCTAATGCTAGGATTAATCTGCTCCAGCACTCCAATCAAAGGTACAAGAACGAATTCCCTTCACAAACATTTACGTTCAACTTGGCATATAGCATATTGCCGTTCCATGAGTAAGTCTTTCAAGTAGCAGTCCTTATACAATTCCCTCTACATTTAATGCTCATCTTAGACAACGATGGCAATATTGATCTACTTGTCAAAAATGAGATCTAACTATTAATTCCAAGCTAGTGAGACGCTAATAAATTGCTTATTAAAAATAAATACTCTTTTATGAATCGTATTGTGCGAGATTATAGAGCTACATTCTATCTAGGAATATTATAAAACTCCTTTGCAAGAAAAAATGTTACTACATTTGGTAACAGTTAACAACTTGATAACTTAATTACATTTTTGAATGGGTAAACTAGTTTCTAAAATATTAGGTTTTGCAAATATGTCCGCTTTGATTGACAGGCGTGCGGCATACTTCCTAGTTGGTTGTTCTTATAAAACGAGATTGTTAACCCTGTGAATTATCCGTTACCACTTCTCTTGTTTAGATTTCCGATGATTTCCAGTGTTATCTTCGTCCAAGTAATTAGAATGTGTAGTGTGGAATTCTTTTTATTCAAATGTTTCACTGTCTTCCTAATTTTTATTAGTTTGTGGCATGTTAGAGTTTCAATAGTCAGTTATTGATTGGTAAAACTAGTGGGAAAATTTGTTGTAATGTGCAAATTTGAATGGTAAGTTTTGTGAGTGCAGTATTTTATTTTGTAATCTTGGAGGGGTGAATCGTATGTTCTCAAATATGTTTCAGTATTTGGAGAGAATGTCATTCTTCTCTCCACTGGATTTGAGATGGTGCTCTCTACTTGTTGAAGATCAATAAAAGCATTTGCCTCTGTTGAGGTGATCAACCAACTTGGGATGCTGCTGAATTACACTGGAAAAGGTGATGTTCTACTGCTGAATTGATTAAGGCTATGTTGATTTCTTGCTTCTTTTCCGTGTTGGATATTATTCATCGCTTGGGATACTTTTGTAAACCAAAGTGTCAGCTGTGTTTGCTGTCTTTACTGTCAGTTGGAATAGCTGTCTGAAATTGAGGCTTCTCTCTTTGTTCGAATACTTTCGAGGTGTTGCCGTCTTATCGATGTAGCTGGTCCAGATTGTTCGGTGTATTGCTTGAGCGATAGGGTTAATTTATAAGTTCCAAAGTTTATGTTGATTGCATTCTACGTTGATGCTCTTAAAGAAAACAACATCATCCTGATACCTGCAAGGGGGTCTCCCACTTTTATTTTATTTCATGTCTTTGATCTATCTAATTTTTTGCTATCTTTTATGAAATGGATATTGCAACTTTTGTAGATGATAGAAAACTTACTACCATACCTAATTTGAGAATTTTCCTGTGTCTATAGTAGAGTGTATTCAGAAAATCTGCTATCTTGTGCTAATTCGCTAGGTTGTGGAAGTTTATTTCTTCTTGCTGAAGGTTACTTCAAGGAAATATTGACATCTGGTACATGTTGTCTTGATCGTTTGTTGAGGTAATGTCATGCTTAATATCCATTGTTGGTAGTTTATTATATGGTAACTAGTTAGTTATTACAGGTTATATTGCTTACTCCTAGTAACTGCCAAATTCTAATTCATTCACAAGGGGAAATGGTCATGTTTTAGTACGTCCATAGAGAAAGCATACGGATATTTGTAGAGAAATGTTACATAAATTTGATAATTTCTTCTTGGTCTTCAGTGGCTGAGTTTTTTGACTACTTAAAGCAGCAAAATTTTCTCCTGATAGCCAGATGTTTTAGTTCTTCCTCACTACTTTCAGTCAAATCATAATATCAAATGAATAGTGCACTTAAGTGTAAGCAATTAATTTGGATATTTTAAATGTTTGCATTAAAAGGAATATTTGCTATTTTGGAAATATTTCAAACTAATGATAAATTGTAGAAAGCTTTTTGGTTTACTGATCCTTCTACTTTATTTTATATATGGTGGCCTTTGGTTGTGTGAGGTATTTTAATTCCTTTTCCGGCACCTGCTAAAAGTTATAAAAGATTGTTTTGCCCCATACAAAAATTACATGTGGAGTTGTCTTAAACATATACTCTCTAAGGAAAAAAGTTTTGTGGGGTTATATTTGTGAGACTTCTTACTTCCGGGTAAAATAAAGAGTTTAAAATTAAATTATTTTTTAAATTATAAACAGTGTCATTTATTTTGAAAAAAAATTTAACTAATCTAATTTGAAGTGGAGGGTGTATTATTTATGACTTTTGAGTTCATGCTGTGAGAAGTACAATAAAGTCGTTTAGAGTTATTAGAAGTAGAAAAATTCATTATTTTTTTTAAAAATGTAGTAGAGTCGCGCCTACTTGAACGTGTAGTATTGTCTTTTAAGTAGAAGCATTATTTGCTTAGACGTCATTTTTTATCACAACGTAAATATGTCCGGTTTGTTAATGGTATTATAATAACTTAAGGTTATCGGATCCAAGAGCTCGGCCTATGGGGGAGCGCTCAATTGTGTTCAGTTGAGAGGACGGTGGTTCGAATCCACCTGGATTCCTTTTGCAGTTTATTATCGCTATATACTTAAATTGAGAATAACAAGCGACATTTTGATTTAGTCGAGCACTTAAGCATGTTTGGAAAGCCACAAAGGGAAATTAGGTGGGTGTAATTTACACGGTTTGACATATTCTTACTTGGTCATTATAGAATTAGGTGTCATTGAGACTCCAATTCTTGGAGGAGACGAGGTGAAAATTGGTACTAGTAATTACATTGTGTAATTGCAAGATAATGTTATATTTCTATTTTTTCTAATTTTTCAAATCTATTAGTATTATTATTTTTACTATATATCTTTTGAATTTCTCTTATTCTTATTTCTTTTAACCTTCCAAAGTCGGTTTATGCTGTGTTTTCATTTAATTTTTCAACTTCTCATATTTTGGTTTCCCCCCTTAGTTGTTAAATAAAATTTCGTATTTTACTAGTTTTATTATCTATTCATTAGTATAAAATAGTTATTAAGAAAAATACCTTCTAAACTCAATTTGTTTTGTTAAAAAAGTACAGCAAATCATAAATTTTTGGTAGAAATTTTAAATTCTTAGTTGAAACTAGCTAAGATGTTATTTATTTGGAAGATAATCAAGATACCGATAATTATTTTCGATATGAGTTACCTATTTATAATTATTTAATATTTATTATTAAAAGAATATAGTTTAAATACCTGATTATGACTAATATCTTGTATTTTTATAATTTCATATTTATCACACGTTAATGAGTTAGTTAAAAAGGTCATTATTGCAATTTTGATTAATTAATTAAGTAATAATGTTCTCTATTTGAAAGATACTTCTTTCAAGATATTATTCTGCAATTTATACTTATTTAGTATATTATTTAATATATTTTGATAAGTTAATCTGAACAAAAGTTTATTTAATGATGTAATTACACTTGTTCACCAAACATGATTGTGAAAATTATACTGTATTTTGGCAAACAAATAGGTTGCAGTTGGATCTGAATCCTCCTTGAACTAGTCTTTGTACTGATACCATTTGTTGGAATCGAAATAACAAGTCATGCAGTTACTAACAAAGTAAACCTTGGAGACGATAAATCAAAGAATAAAAGATAATATTATAATATGATTTGGTCAATTGATCTACAAGAGAAGATGAACAATTTACTGTATAAATGAGATTTTCTAAATGGATTTTTTTTTTCTAAATGATACAAAGATATTAAAAGAAAAAATTCTTTCCCTAAACATAGTTTTCTTAAAGACTACTGGATGCTTTTATATTATTGTGTGAAAAGAAAACCTTAATTTATAGAAGTATAAAATTTATCCCCCAAGAAAAGAAAAAAATATGGAAGAGTCATTTTCCAGCAAAAAAACCTTTTTTCTTTTCCACCAAAAAAGTAATTTTAATTATGGTAGAAAATCAGGGTAAAACTTACAACTGATATTTTTAGGGTAAGGAGTATATCATACTTTATTGTTTAATATGTCACTAAAGAGAGTCATACTTTCTCAGTTATAAATAATTTTATATGTTAAACTTTCTACTTTATCTTTAATAAGATGATTTATAGCTATACGATATCTATATTTATTTTAGTTCAGAAGTTTTAAAAGACTTTTTTTTCTTTTTTATCTCCGCACCTAATAAAATGCCACAAATTGGGACGGAGAAAATATGGGAAAGTTTCATAATTACAAACTTTTAAAGAGTAAATTTATCTTCTACAACTGTTATTCAATTTACATTTTATACATTTAATAAATATTTAGCCTCCTCTCTCTCTTTTCTCTCTCTGTATATACAAAAATCATTCAATAAAGATCCCAAAATTTTAGCAAATCTAACAGAATCCTTATCATTTTCTAAATTTAAGTCTAACTACAGCCAATTAGTTCTTAAAAAATCTCTAAATTCCTAGAATTTAGCCTAACTAAATTGATTACAACTCAAATACAATAAATCATCTCTTAAAAGATATCCTTTGACAGTCATTTAAAAATATGTGAGAGATTACACCATATATATATAATGGTTTAACTTATATAAATAAAATAATATACTTTCTACCTAAATAAAAATACAATATATTTAAAAAATTGTATATCGAACATAGTATAAATATACTATATACTATATACTATATATAATCCTCTTAAATCCAATGTTCTTTATTTTGTATATAGATAATAGAGCTCTTAAGTATATTTTGAAAATATGTTTAATGTTATAAATGAGATGAATACATGTGAGTGAGAGGAATGCATTTATCTGTCCATTTAACGTACTTTATATTCATGTACTCAATTAAGAAATATATTAACTTATAACCTTTGAATGTATTTGTACCTTTATAAATAGGGAACTTTTGACCCTATGAAGAACACACCAAGAAAAGAAATAACAAAATCATTCTCCCTCATATATATTTTGTCTCCATTAGTATATTATTTTATTGTGCTCTCATTTTTAACACGTTATCAACACGAGGTTCTAACCAATTGAGGTTATCTGGTTCATCCGAATTTTATCTTCTTCCTAAAAGAGCTAGTCAGTTTTTTTTCCGATTCAGGTATACATTCCTATGTTTATAACGTTTCTATTAGGATCTTCTTTAACCTGCAATTTAATTACCATATGCATAACTTTTTTAAATATGATTATAATAATTGCATTGGTATGAAAAAAATAAGTTTCGGTTAAATTGTTATTTCATTATATAAACTACGAAGAAGTTTAATCCTACACATAAATAAATAAGTATTAAAATTGAATTACAATAATTAGACTAATTAAGCCCACATCCAAATATTGTAATAGAATATGCATTTAGAAGGAATTCTTGCAAAATTTTCAAAAGATTTAAATGTGTCTTCAATAAATTTATCACCTAAGTGTACAAACTAATTAATGACTTTAAAATTAACGACTGAACTATTAGATGAATCGTATTGAATGTTGAAACTTGTTAGAATTGATATCATCTAGTTTTATGCTTACTTAGCTTATTGAAACGTATTCTAAGTAGAACAAAATTATACTAGTGCATATTAATTCAACTTATTTATTCTATGAAAATATACTTACTTGTCTAAAGTTTTTGTGGATAATATTAAATACTAATTTATCATCGCACTGCACATAATTATTTGTTTGATAATTTTACATATATAATATTAATACACGATTATGTACTGTACTGAATTGATAATAATTCTTGTCATTCTAATTCACTTATTTCTATGATAGTTTTCACTATGTTGAATTTGTCAAAGCTTGAGTTTATGGCACTTGACATCTCTGGGAATAACTATTTTCCATGGGTACTTGATGCTGAAATTCACCTTGACGCTAAAGGTCTTGGTGACACTATTAAAGAAGGAAATGAAGCATCAAGTCAAGATAAGGCGAAAGCCATGATTTTCCTTCGCCATCATCTCGATGAAGGGTTAAAAAGTAAATATTTAACCTTGAAATATCCATTTCAATTATGGACTAGTTTTAAGGAACGAAAATGACCACCTAAAGGCCACGGTATTGCCAAGAGCTCATCGTGAGTGGATGCACTTACGGCTACAAGATTATAAGACCATAAGTGAATATAATTCTACTGTATATAGGATAATTTCCCAACTAAAATTATGTGGAGATTCTATGAATGATGAGGATATGCTGGAAAAGACTCTTTTCACTTTTTATGCCTCAAATATGGTGTTACAACAGCAATACCGTGAAAAGGGCTTTAAAAAATATTCTGAGTTAATTTCATGCCTTTTGGTGGCTGAACAACATAATGCCCTTTTAATAAAAAATTATGAAGCCCGCCCCGCTGGATCAACTCTATTTTCAGTAGCGAATCTAGGAACGATAGATCCAAAGTCTGAAAAAAGAAAAAATAATTATCGTGGTCGTATAAATATATGTGGGCGTGGCAAGGGGCGAAATAATAATTGCCATGGTGGTGGTCGTTATAAACAAGAGAACAATAAGGGTTCTCAGAATAATCCTTCAAAAGGCAAAGGTAATGTTTGCCACCGATGTTGTATGAAAAATCATTGGGCACGAATTTATCGTACACCTCAACATTTTGCCAAACTTTATCAAGCATCTATAAAAGGAAAACAAAATAAAGTTGAGATTCACTTGATTTTTTAAAATGATGTTGAGGCGGGCCCTATAAATAATTATGATAAAGTTGAAGCAAACCTTGCCTATACAGATGATATTTTTGAAGGCCTTGCAGATATTACTCATTTAGAAGCCGGAGACTTCTTTGAGTATCATAACTGAAGACTTATTATTGGAAAAAATTATAAGAATAAATGTATTTCTTTTTATGAAGTTCATATTTTGAATAAAACTTTCTATGTTGTCAGTATTTAATTTCATAAATGTAGTTTCTTTTGTTCTTAAATTTTTCAATATTACTTATGATGTATTTTTCTTCTTCTTGAAGAATATGAAAACCTCCCAGTCTTCAGTTGTTCGTATGAACAATAAAGAAGAAATATGTCTTTTGGATAGTGCTACGACGCACACTATATTAAAAGATAAGAGATATTTCGTTTATTTAATTATGAAAAAAGCCAATATCATAACAATATCTGGTAGTACAAAATTAATTGTGGCTCTGGAAGAGCGACTGTATTACTACCAGGAGGAACTATATTGGCTGTTAATAATACATTACATTGTAGTAGGTCTCAAAGAAACTTGTTGAGTTTTAAAGATATTCGCCAAAATGGCTATCATATTGAACCCACCAATGAAGGAAAGGTTGAATACCTTTATATTACTACAATAAAAGCGAAAAAGAAGTATGTGCTTGAAAAGCTTCCCGCATTTCCCTTCGGATTATACTACACTAATATTAGTGTAGTTGAATCACATGCCATAGTAAACAAGGAGTTTACTAATGATTTTATTATTTGGTATGACCGGTTGGGCCATCCTGGTTATAATATGATGCGCAAAATAATTGAGAATTCACATGGTCATTCATTGAAGAACCAGAAGATTCTTCAAACTAAAGAATTCTTTTGTGTTGCATGTTCTCAAGGAAAACTGATTATTAGACCATCAGTAATTAAAGTTGGAGTTGAATCTCCTATATTTTTGGAACATATACATGGTGATATATGTGGGCCCATACACCCTCCATGTGGACCATTCAGATATTATATAGTTTTGATAGATGCATCTATAAGATGGTCACATGTGTGCTTAATATCAACCCGCAATTTGGCCTTTGCGAGGTTACTAGCTCAA